TATTCAGTGTGTATGTATTAACGAGCGCCATAGTACACATGTGGAGGTCAGAGGACAACTTGGAGGAGTCGTTTCTCTCCTTCCACCTTCCAGGTCCCAGGGATTGAACTCAGGTGGTCAGGCTTGGTGGCAAGCGCCTTCACCCTTTGAGGCATCTCGCAGGCCCTGGGAGAAGCTATTCCTGAGCACAGATGGAGTACTAGTGAGCAAGCTCAGTGTCGTCTATGGCTTTACCCTACTCCTTTCCCTCCGCAGGCGTTCCCAGCTGTAACCGGACCTCTGCTAGGTCATTTGATGCCGGCGGAGGTCTCCAAGAGGGCAGAGTCTCTGTCTGCTGTATACCCATGCATACCCAGCTCAGAACACGAAGCTGGGAACAAAACAGGTGGCCAATAACAAGTGATGGATAAGTGACTACTTGAAGGAACACCAGGGAGATCCGAAAAGAGCCCAAGCTTCTTCCCTTCCGGTATGGCAGGTGCCCCCGCTGTAGATGGGGGCGGCGGGAGAGTAATTCATCCCCTCCTTCTTCACCCCCAGAGCCCGGAGGCTAGGATGCTCTGGACCGGAAGCCCTGGGTCCAGAGCAGCTCTAGAAGCCGGAGGTTGCAGGTCAAGGGTGTGCCAGGAGACCCCTCGCCGCAGCCATTTCCGGCTCTTTGTGTGACAGCGGCCCCGGCGAAGGGGCGGGGCAGCAGGGACCCGGAGGAGGAGCCTCAGCGGGCGGAGGGGCGGGGCCGAGGGAGGGGCCCAGCGGGCGGCCGCCGGGGCAGAGCCGGGCTGAGCATCCTGAGCCCCGGCGTGGGGCCCTGCGGTAGCTCGGGCCCCTCCCCCCGACCTGCAGCGGACCCAGGTAAGGGACGCTGGGAGACATCGGGGCTGGGGCGGGGACCGAAATGCTGCTGAGGTTTGGATGCAGTCCTGAGGATGCGCATGGAGCCGGCGCTGCTTCTCCCAGCCCGCGGGGGGCGCTTGGCACGGCGCCCGAGACTGCGCGGCCTGGGGTCCCCGGAGGCCTCGCTGCAGGCCCTGCAGGCCCCTTCTCCCCGTAGGCCCACAGAGGGCCTTCCGTAGGGACCCTGTCCCCGGAGGCGCGGGGACCGCGCGGGGCTAGGCGCGGTGGCCGCAGCAACCGCAGTAGTAGCAGCAGCAGCAGCAGGTGCGTGGCCTGGGCCCTGGCCGTACGCCCTAGAAAACGAGATGCTGGTCCTGGGGACCGCGGACACCTGCAGCGGCCACGGGCCGGGCGGTGGCCACATCCCGGTGCCCAGGTACTGCAGGGCGCCGGGCCCTGCCTCTGCCACCGAGGCCACCATCACCTCGGCCAGGGCCGGCGAGAACCGCCCGGGCCCGCCTGGCAGCGGTTTGGGGCACCTCGCTCCCACTGTACCAGAGCCGGGTGGAGCCAGGTTTGGGAGTGGACGGCTCTGATGAGCAGGGAGGCACAGCTGACCTGCTTTGAAGCTTTCTGGCCCATGCTAGTGCCTCTCTTCTGGCGGGTTGGGGCCACGAAGGAGGTGGGCAAAGGGGGTCAGTGCACGGATTCCTGGGGGGAAAAGATTTTCTTCAGCTCTGGCTGCCCACCTTCTGTTGTGGCAGACGGCCCTATCACCCCCAGGAAGGTAAGCCCTCCAATGGTACCAGAAGGGAAGGAGTAGCTAGTCTGTGTTTAGGGGTGGGGGCGGGGAGCTTGGTCCCATAGAACGATGGTTGGACACTGACTGTCCAGGTGCTTCCCCAGTCCCCGGGGACTTGACTTTGAACGTGCCTTGCCCAGTTTCCTCAGTGCCCACAGCCCCAGAGTTAGGCAGGAAGACTGGGGGACAGACTGCAAGCAGGAGCTGAATTCCACAGAGTTTTGGCTCCTGAGAGTCCATTTCTATGTCTTGCTCCTCTCCCCTTAGAACAGGAAGTTTCCAGCCTCAGTCTTGGGTACAGGCCGTGCTAGAACCCATGCCTGCCACCCTGGTCCCTCTGTGTTAGAGGATAAAAATATAGGTCCATATCCATCCTCAGGGTTGTGAAGTTCTTTAAGGTGGTGTCTTCACTATCGCACCCACTCTGTGGCCTCTGCCTCCCAGGCAGTGCCCTTTGCTTCCCCCCTATGCTGTCAAACTTGCGATCAAGAAAGGAGCCAGTGAGTGGTGTTTCTTTTGAAGAGCTAAATACAAAAGAATTTCCCATTGGATACAGAGCAGGTGCTTTACAAGTCATGGGATCAGACAGGAAGCAGAGGATGGGAGACATTTTAATAGAAAACAAATCTGAGGTCAAAGTATTTGCTATTTCTAATGGTTGACTTTTAGATGCGAGCTACATATGGGGGTGATATTGTCCCCCAAATGATACATCTAGCAGCTGTCAGGTCTGTTTTCAGTCAGGGCAGCTTTGGCCCGGAGTGCAGAAATACTGTAGGAGTGTGCTTCTGTGCGCAGGCGTGTGTGAGTGTTTGTGTACGTGCATGTGGGTGCATGTGTGTGACTGGTCAGGGCTTACTGTCACCAGAAGGCTTTTATTGATCACTCAGTGTCCACTTTGGGGATGTAAAACTTTCCCATAGAGAGTCCCACATTGGCACTAGCTGCCATCTGCCCTGATGGGGCACAAACAGAACGTGCTGTTGCTTTCAAAGCCTGTGTCTCTGGGTACTTCTGCTCTCTGTGCCCCAAGCTGGGGGCATCAGCTCTTTGCTCACTAAGCTTCTTTATTATATTTTCTGGCCAGTTCTGACTGGTTATATAGGAACCCAAGACTGCCTTGTTCACTCTCTGCTGGAAAGTGGGAAAGGAAAAGCTTGATTTAGGCTTTAGCCCAAGAATTGGGCATGCAACCGAGTCACGTTGAAGACTTTTGCTCAAATCAGATCACATGAGAAGTAATTTAAAAACTAGTAAAGGGCCCCAGGGGAACAACACATGTCCCCTTTGATAAATTGTATCCTCACAGTGTTCAGTGGGCTTCTGGGACTGTCATTGACCAGAAAGCCAAATTAGGTGATGAATAGGCAACAAGCTAATTAGCATTGGGAGCAGCACTCCTGGAAAACAGTGTAGGGCCCCGTCCTCACGTTTTAGTCTCCATGCACAGAGAGGCTTCTTTTGGCCACTGTTAGTCCCAGGCTTCCACCAAGCACTTCACAAAATGGCCTTTTGTAGCCTCCATGTGGCTACCATAACAATGAGTCTATTTCTTTACTGGCAAGTATTAATTATTCACTTACAGTTGACGAAACCAGGCATCAGTCACCTCATTGGAGCCTCTGTGAAAGGCCTTTGGTCTTGTCATTTTGAAGAGCAAAGCCATATCTAGGGTTCAGTGGATGGCCCTGCATCTGCAACCCGAGGTGGCTGCAGGGAGGGGGTGGCACATGCTGCTGCCTTCCAGGCTGTGGATGGGAGGCCAGCTGTGGTGGGGGAGGGGCTGGTGCATCTTTGGGTGTTCTTATTAAATGAAGGATGTGAGAAAGTGCTGAGCAGAGTGCTTAGCACATAATAAGTACTCTCCTATTTATATCTTTATTGTTGCAATGCATTATTTACAAGAGACTCTGGTTCATGTGTGAAGGCAACTCACAGCCCTTCTTAACCTCTTGACCTCCAGAAGGGTTTGCTTTTTCAAGGGGAGTCAGTCTTTCTGATGAATTGCAGTATGTGCCAGGGACACGGAAAAGAAAAATGTGTTCAGGCAAGGGCTTCACTGAGCAACTGCTGAACATGAATGCAGGCAGAACCTGAGTAGGCAGGAGGAAGGGGGTGGGAAGAAGTGAGCAGAGGTAATTCTCATGTTTCAAGAGTCCAGGAAGAACTTCTTCCTTTGTGTGTATTTCGCATTTTGCAACCAACCCAAAATGTCAAGGTCATACTTGGCTTTTCTTCTGGGGCAGACAGAACAGTGCAGTGGACTTAGGACATGGGATTTCTTCCTGGCCTGATGTGCACCTCTAACATAGCCACTGCCTTTTCTGACTTTAACACTTGAGCAATGGAAAGCCACCTCTCCAGCCTATTACCTGTCTGTCACTAGCCCGAGCCCTGGGATGAAATAATGTCTATGAATCCCAGAGAAGAAGAGGTCATGGAAAAAGGAAGAGAAAGAGGCTCCTGAATGTGTGGGTCTTTCAGATAGTCACCTCTATTCCTAAAGGAATCATTTATTAATTCTATATTGAGTGTCTATTTAAGAATATGAATCTATGACTTCTTTGTACTATGGAGCCAAATTAAAACCAAAAGGCACTTTGTGATTCGCAGGTTCTGTGATGCCCCTTGAACACCCCTGTGTGTACAAAGACACTTAGAATTCATTAAGTGGGTATGGGATATCTCCCACAGTGCAAGAATTTGGATAGTAGCTTTGTAGCCATAACCATTGTGCTGAGGAGTATGTGTAATGTGCCTCAAACATTAAGCCATGCTTCTTGGGCCCTGGCCACAGAGGAGAAAATAAAATTGGATGCAAGTTCTCGAAGGAAATCGTTGAGAAGAGAGCTGAGCACAACAGGCTTGTTTGCAGGACTCATTCTTGAGTGGCATTTTGATAGCCTCATGGCAACTCAGTGCAGTAAGAGAGGAAAGCAAATAGAACCTTCCGGAGGAACAGACCCAGTGATGACCTCAGCGATAGGATTTTTAACTCAGTGCTGGCTTCATTGCCTGGTCATCTCTGTGTTGCTGTTCTCAGGTGGACTGGAGGGAAGTATAGGTTGTCCACGTTTTATATAGTTGTTTTCAGGTAAGTTACTCTTCTTGTGATTACAAAATGCCTGACAGAAGCAACTTAAGGAAGAAAGGATTCATTTGGGCTCATGATCAGCAGGGGCATGAGGTGGCTGGTCACATTGCATTCATAGTCAGGAAGTGGAGGGAGATGAATGTTGGTGCCCATTCAGCTTGTTTTTTATCTTTTTTCCTTATTTAGACTGAGACCCCAGCCCCTGGGATGGTGCCACTTACATTGAGGGTGTGTCTTCCCTCTTTAGTTATACCTCTCTGGAATTACCTTCACAAACATGCCCTGAGATCTAAATCCTGTCACATTGATAATTAACTATCACAGAGTTTGAAGCTTTCCACACAAACTAAAGGTGGGGGACCAATTAGGAAACTTCAGGAAACTTCCCAAGTTGGAACAGTTTCCTCTGGGTGGAGTAAGGAATCAGCTGGAGCTGAATGAAAGAATTGTTGAGGGATACCTGAGAACTATTTTTGATTTGTACTTTTAAAAGGTCATTACTTAACATTGGGTTCATTAGGGTATGAGCACTGAGCTAAGAATTCAAAGGTAAAGATCAGCCCTCTACCTCCAATTCTGTGACATCTCCATATAGTAGAGAGATACGGGGACCTGCTTGTTGTGGTTGGTGAGAGACTGCAGGATACATGAATGACCTGCAAGTCTTACTAGACTCCTACAGTAGTGAGACTCGTGTAGTTATAGTGTGTTGGAGGACCATACCGTTGAAAGTTTTCAATTTCTTTCCTTTAACCCAAGGACATGAAGTTTGGTCATTGGCTCATGGATTCAACAAATCATTAAGCACTGATGAAATATGTGCTGTCTTGTATCCCTTCCTCTGTGCTAATTAATTACTAGGGATCCAATCTAGAAAAGAAGATTGTTTATGGCATTTATGCTGGTCCAAAGAATTAGGAAAAATATGAAGCACTTTGTGATGCAGTAAGAGATGGTGAGCTCTACACCATGAGTTCTGTGAGAATCCAGAAAAATAATGGTTGCTATGGGAGAGGCTGATCTGTCATTATTACTAGTTTATTAAAGTGGTTTACATAAAGCTATTTTTAAGCAAGTATATAATGTACCAAGCATGTTCCCCCACACCCTGTTGCCCTCCCT